CATGCTTATCAACATCATTGTAGTCACATGCTTGTCAACATTCCACATTTCAATAAACATCACAGCTGGGTCATGTTATAGAGAGGTACGTTGAAAGTGACACGTGGGCACAAAGGGGCAAAAAGCGACAATTTCTCACCTTTCTGCCCGTTCGAAGCTCAACAACTGACCACAGCCACCCTGATCTTGTTGTTTGGATGGACATAGGGAAGTGAACCAAGAAAAATTCCACATTTCAATAAACAACTCGCCCAGGGCTGCTCAAAGCTGATATCAAACTATCTCGAAGTTTTGGGCCTTTTTGCCCGTGATTCTTCACTTTGTGACTAAACTATTCCCAGCAGTGCCAAATTTTAGTCGTCACTGAATGCGAATGCCAGCGGCCTACAAGCAAACCAAAAATCAAAACAATGCGACCACTCACATCACAGCTGGGTCATGTTATAGAGAGGTACGTTGAAAGTGACACGTGGGCACAAATGGGCAAAAAGCGACAATTTCTCACCTTTCTGCCCGTTCGAAGCTCAAGAACTGACCATAGCCACCCTGATCTTGTGGTTTGGCTGGACATAGGGAAGTGAACCAAGAAAAAATTCCACATTTCAATAAACAACTTGTCCAGGGCTGCTCAAAGCTGATATCAAACTATCTCGAAGTTTTGGGCCTTTTTGCCCGTGATTCTTCACTTTGCGAATAAACTATTCACAGCAGTGCCAAATTTTCGCCGTCACTGAATGCGGGTGCCAGCTGCCTACAAGCAAACAAAAAATCAAATCAATGCGACCACTCACATCACAGCTGGGTCATGTTATAGAGACGTACGTTGAAAGTGACAGGTGGGCACAAATGGGCAAAAAGCGACAATTTCTCACCTTTCTGCCCGTTCGAAGCTCAAGAACTGACCATACCCACCCTGATCTTGTTGTTTGGCTGGATATAGAGAAGTGAACCAAGAAAAAATTCCACATTTAAATAAACAACTTGCCCAGGGCTGCTCGAAGCTGATATCAAACTATCTAGAAGTTTTGGGCCTTTTTGCCCGTGATTCTTCACTTTGCGACTAAACTATTCACAGCAGTGCCAAATTTTAGTCCACACTGAATGCGGGTGCCAGCGGCCTACAAGCAAACCAAAAATCAAAACAATGCGACCACTCACATCACAGCTGGGCCATGTTATAGAGAGGTACGTTGAAAGTGACACGTGGGCACAAATGGGCAAAAAGCGAAAATTTCTCACCTTTCTGCCCATTCGAAGCTCAACAACTGACCATAGCCACCCTGATCTTGTTGTTTGGCTGGACATAGGGAAGTGAACCAAGAAAAAATTCCACATTTCAATAAACTACTCGCTCAGGGCTGCTCAAAGCTGATATCACACTATCTCGAAGTTTTGGGCCTTGTTGCCCGTGATTCTTCACTTTGCGACTAATCTATTCACAGCAGTGCCAAATTTTAGGCGTCACTGAATGCGGGTGCCAGGGCCCAACAAGCAAACCAACAATCAAATCAATGCGACCACTCACATCACAACTGGGTCATGTTATACAGAGGTACGTTGAAAGTGACACGTGGGCACAAATGGGCAAAAAGCGAAAATTTCTCACCTTTCTTCCCGTTCGAAGCTCAAGAACTGACCATCACCACCCTGATCTTGTTGTTTAGCTGGACATAGGGAAGTGAACCAAGAAAAAATTCCACATTTAAATAAACAACTCGCCCAGGGCTGCTCAAAGCTGATATGCAAACTTTCTCGAAATTTTGGTCCTTTTTGCCCGTGACTCTTCACTTTGCGACTAATATATTCACAGCAGTGAAGCTCAAGTTCGAAGCTCAAGAACTGACAATAACCACCCTGATCTTGTTGTTTGGCTGGACATAGGGAAGTGAACCAAGAAAAAATTCCACATTTAAATAAACAACTTGCCCAGGGCTGCTCAAAGCTGATATACAACTATCTTGAAGTTTTGGGCCTTTTTGCCCGTGATTCTTCACTTTGCGACTAAACTATTCACAGCAGTGCCAAATTTTCGGCGTCACTGAATGCGGGTGCCAGCGGCCTACAAGCAAACAAAAAATAAAATCAATGCGACCACTCACATCACAGCTGGGTCATGTTATAGAGAGGTACGTTGAAAGTGACACGTGGGCACAAATGGGCAAAAAGCGACAATTTCTCACCTTTCTGCCCGTTCGAAGCTCAAGAACTGAGCATAGCCACCCTGATCTTGTTGTTTGGCTGGACAAAGGGAAGTGAACCAAGAAAAAATTCCACATTTCAATAAACTACTCGCCCAGCGCTGCTCAAAGCTAATATATCTTATATATCTCGAAGTTTTGGGCCTTTTTGCCCGTGATTCTTCACTTTGCAACTAATCTATTCACAGCAGTGCGAAATTTTAGGCGTCACTGAATGCGGGTGCCAGGGCCCAACAAGCAAACCAACAATCAAATCAATGCGACCACTCACATCACAACTGGGTCATGTTATACAGAGGTACGTTGAAAGTGACAAGTAGCACAAATGGGCAAAAAGCGAACATTTCTCACCTTTCTTCCCGTTCGAAGCTCAAGAACTGACCATCACCACCCTGATCTTGTGATTTGGCTGGACATAGGGAAGTGAACCAAGAAAAATTCCACATTTAAATAAACAACTCGCCCAGGGCTGCTCAAAGCTGATATCAAACTTTCTCGAAATTTTGGTCCTTTTTGCCCGTGATTCTTCACTTTGCGACTAATATATTCACAGCAGTGGCAAATTTTAGGCGTCACTGAATGCGGGTGCCAGCGGCCTACAAGCAAACCAAAAATCAAATCAATGCGACCACTCACACCACAGCTGGGTCATGTTATAGAGAGGTACGTTGAAAGTGACACGTGGGCACAAATGGTTAAAAAGCGACAATTTCTCACCTTTCTTCCCGTTCGAAGCTCAAGAACTGACAATCACCACCCTGATCTTGTTGTTTGGCTGGACATAGGGAAGTGAACCAAGAAAAAATTCCACATTTCAATAAACAACTTGCCCAGGGCTGCTCAAAGCTGATATCAAACTATCTCGAAGTTTTGGGCCTTTTTGCCCGTGATTCTTCACTTTGCGACTAATCTATTCACAGCAGTGCCACATTTAAGGTGTCACTGAATGCGCGTGCCAGCGGCCTACAAGCAAACCAAAAATCAAATCAATGGGACCACTCACATCACAACTGGGTCATGTTATAGAGAGGTACATTGAAAGTGACACGTGGGCACAAATGGTTAAAAAGCGACAATTTCTCACCTTTCTTCCCGTTCGAAGCTCAAGAACTGACAATCACCACCCTGATCTTGTTGTTTGGCTGGACATAGGGAAGTGAACCAAGAAAAAATTCCACATTTCAATAAACAACTTGCCCAGGGCTGCTCAAAGCTGATGTCAAACTATCTCTAAGTTTTGGGCCTTTTGCCCGTGATTCTTCATTTTGCGACTAAACTATTCACAGCAGTGCCAAATTTTCGGCGTCACTAAATGCGGGTGCCAGCGGCCTACAAGCAAACCAAAAATCAAAACAATGCGACCACTCACATCACAGCTGGGTCATGTTATAGAGAGGTACGTTGAAAGTGACACGTGGGCACAAATGGGCAAAAAGCGACAATTTCTCACCTTTCTTCCCGTTCGAAGCTCAAGAACTGACAATCACCACCCTAATCTTGTTGTTTAGCTGGACATAGGGAAGTGAACCAAGACAAAATTCCACATTTCAATAAACTACTCGCCCAGGGCTGCTCAAAGCTGATATCAAACTATCTCGAAGTTTTGGGCCTTTTGGCCCGTGATTCTTCACTTTGGGACAAAACTATTCACAGCAGTGCCAAATTTCAGTCGTCACTGAATGCGGGTGCCAGCGGCCTACAAGCAAACCAAAAATCAAATCAATGCGACCACTCACATCACAGCTGGGTCATGTTATAGAGACGTACGTTGAAAGTGACACGTGGGCACAAATGGGCAAAAAGCGACAATTTCTCACCTTTCTGCCCGTTCGAAACTCAAGCACTGACCATACCCACCCTGATCTTGTTGTTTGGCTGGACATAGAGATGTGAACCAAGAAAAAATTCCACATTTAAATAAACAACTTGCCCAGGGCTGCTCGAAGCTGATATCAAACTATCTCTAAGTTTTGGGCCTTTTTGCGAGTGATTCTTCACTTTGCGTCTAAACTATTCACAGCAGTGCTAAATTTGAGTCGTCACTGAATGCGGGTGCCAGCGGCCTACAAGCAAACCAAAAATCAAAACAATGCGACCACTCACATCACAGCTGGGTCATGTTATAGAGAGGTACGTTGAAAGTGACACATGGGCACAAATGGTCAAAAAACGACAATTTCTCACCTCTCTTCCCGTTCGAAGCTCAAGAACTGACAATCACCACCCTGATCTTGTAGTTTAGCTCGACATAGGGAAGTGAACCAAGAACAAATTCCACATTTCAATAAACAACTTGCCCAGGGCTGCTCAAAGCTGATATCAAACTATCTCGAAGTTTTGGGCCTTTTTGCCCGTGATTCTTCACTTTGCGACTAAACTATTCACAGCAGTGCCAAATTTTAGGCGTCACTAAATGCGGGTGCCAGCGGCCTACAAGCAAACAAAAAATCAAATCAATGCGACCACTCACATCACAGCTGGGTCATGCTATAGAGACGTACGTTGAAAGTGACACGTGGGCACAAATGGGCAAAAGGCGACAATTTCTCACCTTTCTGCCCCTTTGAAGCTCAAGAACTGACTATACCCACCCTGATCTTGTTGTTTGGCTGGACATAGGGAAGTGAACCAAGAAAAAATTCCGCATTTAAATAAACAACTTGCCCAGGGCTGCTCGAAGCTGATATCAAACGATCTCTAAGTTTTGGGCCTTTTTGCCCGAGATTCTTCACTTTGCGACTAAACTATTCACAGCAGTGCCAAATTTTAGTCGTCACTGAATGCGGGTGCCAGCGGCCTACAAGCAAACCAAAAAATAAAACAATGCGACCACTCACATCACAGCTGGGTCATGTTATAGAGAGGTACGTTGAAAGTGACACGTGGGCACAAATGGGCAAAAAGCGACAATTTCTCACCTTTCTGCCCGTTCGAAGCTCAAGAACTGAGCATAGCCACCCTGATCTTTTGTTGTTTGGCTGGACATAGGGCAGTGAACCAAGAAAAAATTCCACATTTCAATAAACTACTCGCCCAGGGCTGCTCAAAGCTGATATCAAACTATCTCGAAGTTTTGGGCCTTTTTGCCTGTGATTCTTCACTTTGCGACTAATCTATTCACAGCAGTGCCAAATTTTAGGCGTCACTGAATGCGGGTGCCAGCGGCCTACAAGCAAACCAACGATCAAATCAATGCGACACTTAATACTCACAACTGGGTCATGTTATACAGAGGTACGTTGAAAGTGACACGTGGGCACAAATGGGCAAAAAGCGAAAATTTCTCACCTTTCTTCCCGTTCGAAGCTCAAGAACTGACCATCACCACCCTGATCTTGTGGTTTGGCTGGACATAGAGAAGTGAACCAAGAAAAAATTCCACATTTCAATAAACAACTTGCCCAGGGCTGCTCAAAGCTGATATCAAACTTTCTCGAAATTTTGGTCCTTTTTGCGAGTGATTCTTCACTTTGCGTCTTAACTATTCACAGCAGTGCCAAATTTTCGTCGTCACTGAATGCGGGTGCCAGCGGCCTACAAGCAAACCAAAAATCAAAACAATGCGACCACTCACATCACAACTGGGTCATGTTATAGAGAGGTACGTTGAAAGTGACACGTGGGCACAAATGGGCAAAAAGCGAAAATTTCTCACCTTTCTTCCTGTTCGAAGCTCAAGAACTGACCATCACCACTCTGATCTTGTTGTTTGGCTGGACATAGGGAAGTGAACCAAGAAAAAATTCCACATTTAAATAAACAACTCGCCCAGGGCTGCTCAAAGCTGATATCAAACTTTCTCGATATTTTGGTCCTTTTGCCCGTGATTCTTCACTTTGCGACTAAACTATTCACAGCAGTGCCAAATTTTCGTCATCACTGAATGCGGATGCCAGCGGCCTACAAGCAAACTAAAAGTCAAATCAATGCGACCACTCACATCACAGCTGGGTCATGTTATAGAGAGGTACGTTGAAAGTGACACGTGGACACAAATGGGCAAAAAGCGACAATTTCTCACCTTTCTGCCCGTTCGAAGCTCAAGAACTGACCATAGCAACCCTGATCTTGTTGTTTGGCTGGACATAGGGAAGTGAACCAAGAAAAAATTCCACATTTCAATAAACTACTCGCCAAGGGCTGCTCAAAGCTGATATCACACTATCTCGAAATGTTGGGCCTTTTTGCCCGTGATTCTTCACTTTGCGACTAATCTATTCACAGCAGTGCCACATTTAAGGTGTCACTGAAGGCGGGTGCCAGCGGCCTACAAGCAAACCAAAAATCAAATCAATGCGACCACTCACATCACAACTGGGTCATAATATAGAGAGGTACATTGAAAGTGACACGTGGGCACAAATGGTTAAAAAGCGACAATTTCTCACCTTTCTTCCCGTTCGAAGCTCAAGAACTGACAATCACCACCCTGATCTTGTTGTTTGGCTGGACATAGGGAAGTGAACCAAGAAAAAATTCCACATTTCAATAAACAACTTGCCCAGGGCTGCTCAAAGCTGATGTCAAACTATCTCTAAGTTTTGGGCCTTTTGCCCGTGATTCTTCATTTTGCGACTAAACTATTCACAGCAGTGCCAAATTTTCGGCGTCACTAAATGCGGGTGCCAGCGGCCTACAAGCAAACCAAAAATCAAAACAATGCGACCACTCACATCACAGCTGGGTCATGTTATAGAGAGGTACGTTGAAAGTGACACGTGGGCACAAATGGGCAAAAAGCGACAATTTCTCACCTTTCTTCCCGTTCGAAGCTCAAGAACTGACAATCACCACCCTAATCTTGTTGTTTAGCTGGACATAGGGAAGTGAACCAAGACAAAATTCCACATTTCAATAAACTACTCGCCCAGGGCTGCTCAAAGCTGATATCAAACTATCTCGAAGTTTTGGGCCTTTTGGCCCGTGATTCTTCACTTTGGGACAAAACTATTCACAGCAGTGCCAAATTTCAGTCGTCACTGAATGCGGGTGCCAGCGGCCTACAAGCAAACCAAAAATCAAATCAATGCGACCACTCACATCACAGCTGGGTCATGTTATAGAGACGTACGTTGAAAGTGACACGTGGGCACAAATGGGCAAAAAGCGACAATTTCTCACCTTTCTTCCCGTTCGAAGCTCAAGAACTGACAATCACCACCCTAATCTTGTTGTTTAGCTGGACATAGGGAAGTGAACCAAGACAAAATTCCACATTTCAATAAACTACTCGCCCAGGGCTGCTCAAAGCTGATATCAAACTATCTCGAAGTTTTGGGCCTTTTGGCCCGTGATTCTTCACTTTGGGACAAAACTATTCACAGCAGTGCCAAATTTCAGTCGTCACTGAACGCGGGTGCCAGCGGCCTACAAGCAAACAAAAAATCAAATCAATGCGACCACTCACATCACAGCTGGGTCATGTTATAGAGACGTACGTTGAAAGTGACACGTGGGCACAAATGGGCAAAAAGCGACAATTTCTCACCTTTCTGCCCGTTCGAAACTCAAGCACTGACCATACCCACCCTGATCTTGTTGTTTGGCTGGACATAGAGATGTGAACCAAGAAAAAATTCCACATTTAAATAAACAACTTGCCCAGGGCTGCTCGAAGCTGATATCAAACTATCTCTAAGTTTTGGGCCTTTTTGCGAGTGATTCTTCACTTTGCGTCTAAACTATTCACAGCAGTGCTAAATTTGAGTCGTCACTGAATGCGGGTGCCAGCGGCCTACAAGCAAACCAAAAATCAAAACAATGCGACCACTCACATCACAGCTGGGTCATGTTATAGAGAGGTACGTTGAAAGTGACACATGGGCACAAATGGTCAAAAAACGACAATTTCTCACCTTTCTTCCCGTTCGAAGCTCAAGAACTGACAATCACCACCCTGATCTTGTAGTTTGGCTGGACATAGGGAAGTGAACCAAGAAAAAATTCCACATTTCAATAAACAACTTGCCCAGGGCTGCTCAAAGCTGATGTCAAACTATCTCTAAGTTTTGGGCCTTTTGCCCGTGATTCTTCATTTTGCGACTAAACTATTCACAGCAGTGCCAAATTTTAGGCGTCACTAAATGCGGGTGCCAGCGGCCTACAAGCAAACCAAAAATCAAAACAATGCGACCACTCACATCACAGCTGGGTCATGTTATAGAGAGGTACGTTGAAAGTGACACGTGGGCACAAATGGGCAAAAAGCGACAATTTCTCACCTTTCTTCCCGTTCGAAGCTCAAGAACTGACAATCACCACCCTAATCTTGTTGTTTAGCTGGACATAGGGAAGTGAACCAAGACAAAATTCCACATTTCAATAAACTACTCGCCCAGGGCTGCTCAAAGCTGATATCAAACTATCTCGAAGTTTTGGGCCTTTTGGCCCGTGATTCTTCACTTTGGGACAAAACTATTCACAGCAGTGCCAAATTTCAGTCGTCACTGAATGCGGGTGCCAGCGGCCTACAAGCAAACCAAAAATCAAATCAATGCGACCACTCACATCACAGCTGGGTCATGTTATAGAGACGTACGTTGAAAGTGACACGTGGGCACAAATGGGCAAAAAGCGACAATTTCTCACCTTTCTTCCCGTTCGAAGCTCAAGAACTGACAATCACCACCCTAATCTTGTTGTTTAGCTGGACATAGGGAAGTGAACCAAGACAAAATTCCACATTTCAATAAACTACTCGCCCAGGGCTGTTCAAAGCTGATATCAAACTATCTCGAAGTTTTGGGCCTTTTGGCCCGTGATTCTTCACTTTGGGACAAAACTATTCACAGCAGTGCCAAATTTCAGTCGTCACTGAATGCGGGTGCCAGCGGCCTACAAGCAAACAAAAAATCAAATCAATGCGACCACTCACATCACAGCTGGGTCATGTTATAGAGACGTACGTTGAAAGTGACACGTGGGCACAAATGGGCAAAAAGCGACAATTTCTCACCTTTCTGCCCGTTCGAAACTCAAGCACTGACCATACCCACCCTGATCTTGTTGTTTGGCTGGACATAGAGATGTGAACCAAGAAAAAATTCCACATTTAAATAAACAACTTGCCCAGGGCTGCTCGAAGCTGATATCAAACTATCTCTAAGTTTTGGGCCTTTTTGCGAGTGATTCTTCACTTTGCGTCTAAACTATTCACAGCAGTGCTAAATTTGAGTCGTCACTGAATGCGGGTGCCAGCGGCCTACAAGCAAACCAAAAATCAAAACAATGCGACCACTCACATCACAGCTGGGTCATGTTATAGAGAGGTATGTTGAAAGTGACACATGGGCACAAATGGTCAAAAAACGACAATTTCTCACCTTTCTTCCCGTTCGAAGCTCAAGAACTGACAATCACCACCCTGATCTTGTAGTTTATCTCGACATAGGGAAGTGAACCAAGAAAAAATTCCACATTTCAATAAACAACTTGCCCAGGGCTGCTCAAAGCTGATGTCAAACTATCTCTAAGTTTTGGGCCTTTTGCCCGTGATTCTTCATTTTGCGACTAAACTATTCACAGCAATGCCAAATTTTAGGCGTCACTGGATGCGGGTGCCAGCGGCCTACAAGCAAACCAAAAATCAAATCAATGCGACCACTCACATCACAGCTGGGTCATGTTATAGAGACGTACGTTGAAAGTGACACGTGGGCACAAATGGTCAAAAAGCGACAATTTCTCACCTTTCTGCCCGTTCGAAGCTCAAGAACTGACCATAGCCACCCTGATCTTGTTGTTTGGCTGGACATAGGGAAGTGAACCAAGAAAAAATTCCACATTTAAATAAACAACTCGCCCAGGGCTGCTCGAAGCTGATATCAAACTATCTCGAAGTTTTGGGCCTTTTTGCCCGTGATTCTTCACTTTGCGTCTAAACTATTCACAGCAGTGCCAAATTTTAGTCGTCATTGAATGCGGGTGCCAGCGGCCTACAAGCAAACCAAAAATCAAAACAATGCGACCACTCACATCACAACTGGGTCATGTTATAGAGAGGTACGTTGAAAGTGACACGTGGGCACAAATGGTCAAAAAGCGACAATTTCTCACCTTTCTGCCCGTTCGAAGCTCAAGAACTGACCTTACCCACCCTGATCTTGTTGTTTGGCTGGACATAGAGAAGTGAACCAAGAAAAAATTCCACATTTAAATAAACAACTTGCCCAGGGCTGCTCGAAGCTGATATCAAACGATCTCTAAGTTTTGGGCCTTTTTGCCCGTGATTCTTCACTTTGCGACTAAACTATTCGCAGCAGTGCCAAATTTTAGTCGTCACTGAATGCGGGTGCCAGCGGCCTACAAGCAAACCAAAAATCAAAACAATGCGACCACTCACATCACAGCTGGGTCATGTTATAGAGAGGTACGTTGAAAGTGACACGTGGGCACAAATGGGCAAAAAGCGACAATTTCTCACCTTTCTGCCCGTTCGAAGCTCAAGAACTGAGCATAGCCACCCTGATCTTGTTGTTTGGCTGGACATAGGGAAGTGAACCAAGAAAAAATTCCACATTTCAATAAACTACTCGCCCAGGGCTGCTCAAAGCTAATATCAAACTATCTCGAAGTTTTGGGCCTTTTTGCCCGTGATTCTTCACTTTGCAACTAATCTATTCACAGCAGTGCCAAATTTTAGGCGTCATTGACTGCGGGTGCCAGGGCCCAACAAGCAAACCAACAATCAAATCAATGCGACCACTCACATCACAACTGGGTCATGTTATACAGAGGTACGTTGAAAGTGACACGTGGGCACAAATGGGCAAAAAGCGAAAATTTCTCACCTTCCTTCCCGTTCGAAGCTCAAGAACTGCAATCTCCACCCTGATCTTGTTGTTTAGCTGGACATAGGGAAGTGAGCCAAGAAAAAATTCCACATTTCAATAAACAACTCGCCCAGGGCTGCTCAAAGCTGATATCAAACTATCTCGAAATTTTGGTCCTTTTTGCCCGTGATTCTTCACTTTGCGACTAATCTATTCACAGCAGTGCCAAATTTTCGTCGTCACTGAATGCGGGTGCCAGCGGCCTACAAGCAAACTAAAAGTCAAATCAATGGGACCACTCACATCACAGCTGGGTCATGTTATAGAGAGGTACGTTGAAAGTGACACGTGGGCACAAATGGGCGAAAAGCGACAATTTCTCACCTTTCTGCCCGTTCGAAGCTCAAGAACTGGCCATAGCCAACCTGACCTTGTTGTTTGGCTGGACATAGGGAAGTGAACCAAGAAAAAATTCCACATTTCAATAAACTACTCGCCAAGGGCTGCTCAAAGCTGATATCAAACTATCTCGAAATTTTGGGCCTTTTTGCCCGTGATTCTTCACTTTGCGACTAATCTATTCACAGCAGTGCCAAATTTAAGGTGTCACGGAATGCGGGTGCCAGAGGCCTAAAAGCAAACCAAAAATAAATCAATGCGACCACTAACATCACAACTTGGTCATGTTATAGAGAGGTACGTTGAAAGTGACACATGCGCACAAATGGTCAAAAAACGACAATTTCTCACCTTTCTTCCCGTTCGAAGCTCAAGAACTGACAATCACCACCCTGATCTTGTAGTTTAGCTGGACATGGGGAAGTGAACCAAGAAAAAATTCCACATTTCAATAAACAACTTGCCCAGGGCTGCTCAAAGCTGATGTCAAACTATCTCGAAGTTTTTGGCCTTTTGCCCGTGATTCTTCACTTTGCGACTAAATTATTCACAGCAGTGCCAAATTTTAGGCGTCACTGGATGCGGGTGCCAGCGGCCTACAAGCAAACCAAAAATCAAATCAATGCGACCACTCACATCACAGCTGGCTCATGTTATAGAGACGTACGTTGAAAGTGACACGTGGGCACAAATGTTCAAAAAGTGATAATTTCTCACCTTTCTGCCCGTTCGAAGATACAGAACTGACCATACCCACCCTGATCTTGTTGTTTGGCTGGACATAGAGAAGTGAACCAAGAAAAGATTCCACATTTCAATAAACAACTTGCCCAGGGCTGCTCGAAGCTGATTTCAAACTATCTCTAAGTTTTGGGCCTTTTTGCCCGTGATTCTTCACTTTGCGACTAAACTATTCACAACAGTGCCAAATTTTAGGCGTCACTGAATGCGGGTGCCAGCGCCCTACAACCAAACCAAAAATCAAAACAATGCGACCACTCATATCACAGCTGGGTCATGTTATAGAGAGGTACGTTGAAAGTGACACGCGGGCAAAAATGGTTAAAAAGCGACAATTTCTCACCTTTCTTCCCGTTCGAAGCTCAAGAACTGACAATCACCACCCTGATCTTGTTGTTTAGCTGGACATAGGGAAGTGAACCAAGAAAAAATTCCACATTTCAATAAACTACTCGCCCAGGGCTGCTCAAAGCTGATATCAAACTATCTCGAAGTTTTGGGCCTTTTTGCCCGTGATTCTTCACTTTGCGACTAATATATTCACAGCAGTGCCAAATTTCCGGCGTCACTGAATGCGGGTGCCAGCGGCCTACAAGCAAACCAAAAACCAAAACAATTCGACCACTAACATCACAGCTCGGTCATGTTATAGAGAGGTACGTTGAAAGTGACACGTGGGCACAAATGGGCAAAAAGCGACAATTTCTCACCTTTCTGCCCGTTCGAAGCTCAACAACTGACCATAGCCACCCTTATCTTGTGGTTTAACTGGACATAGGGAAGTGAACCAAGAAAAAATTCCACATTTCAATAAACTACTCGCCCAGGGCTGCTCAAAGCTGATAACAAACTATCTCGAAGTTTTGGGCCTTTTGCCCGTGAATCTTCACTTTGCGACTAATTTATTCACAGCAGCGCCAACTTTTAGGCGTCACCGAATGCGGGTGCCAGCGCCCAACAAGGAAACCAAAAATCAAATCAATGCGACCACTCACATCACAACTGGGTCATGTTATACATAGGTACGTTGAAAGTGACACGTGGGCACAAATGGGCGAAAAGCGACAATTTCTCACCTTTCCTTCCGTTCGAAGTTCAAGAACTGACCATAGCCACCCTGATCTTGTTGTTTGGCTGGACATAGAGAAGTGAACCAAGAAAAAATTCCACATTTCAATAAACAACTCGCCCAGGGCTGCTCAAAGCTGATATCAAACTATCTCGAAGTTTTGGGCCTTTTTGCCCGTGATTCTTCACTTTGCGACTAAACTATTCACAGCAGTGCCAAATTTTAGTCGGCAATGAATGTGGGTGCCAGCGGCCTACAAACAAACCAGAAATCAAAACAATGCGACCACTTACATCACAGCTGGGTCATGTTATAGAGAGGTACGTTGAAAGTGACACGTGGGCACAAATGGGCAAAAAGCGACAATTTCTCACCTTTCTTCCCGTTCGAAGCTCAAGAACTGACCATCACCACCCTGATCTTGTTGTTTAGCTGGACATAGAAAAGTGAACCAAGAAAAAATTCCACATTTCAATAAACAACTCGCCCAGGGCTGCTCAAAGCTGATATCAAACTATCTCGAAGTTTTGGGCCTTTTTGCCAGTGATTCTTCACTTTGCGACTAATCTATTCACAGCAGTGCCAAATTTTAGGCGTCACTGAATGCGGGTGGCAGCGGCCTATAAGCAAACCAAAAATCAAATCCATGCGACCACTCACATCACAACTGGGTCATGTTATAGAGAGGTACGTTGAAAGTGACACGTGGGCACAAATGGGTAAAAAGCGACAATTTCTCACCTTTCTGCCCGTTCGAAGCTCAAAAACTGACAATCGTCTCCCTGATGTTGTTTAGCTGGACATAGGGAAGTAAGCAATTGGTTTTCGACAAGCTCAACCCGTAACGCGCTCAGCCTGCCTCTTGTTAAGTCAGCCCAGTATCTAAAGTCCCCTTTGTTTTCCGGCTACTCTCATTGGTTATCATTACCATACGGTCTGAAAACTTGTTCTTCTATTGGTCAGTTTAAAGATCTACTATCACAACTGAACTAGACGAAATAATAATCATCGAAGAACATTCTCGAATTCCTGGGTGATGCACGAATTTTGATAGTGCTCGCTTCCGTTAATCGTTTTTCTTTGTAACTTTCCATTGATTTTCTGCTTTTTAATATTTGCTTTGTTTTCCTAGCTTACTATTGCCGTGGCTGGCTCAACGCCCTTGTCTCAGGGGATTCTGTCCCTGCATTAGCTATGCTTGTCACAAGCTATGAGATTGTGTCTAATAATAATAATAATATCAAACTATCTCGAAGTTTTGGGCCTTTTTGCCCGTGATTCTTCACTTTGCGACTAAACTATTCACAACAGTGCCACATTTCCGGCGTCACTGAATGCGAGTGCCAGCGGCCTACCAGCAAACCAAAAATCAAATCAATGCGACCACTCACATCACAGCTGGGTCATGTTATAGAGAGGTACGTTGAAAGTGACACGTGGGCACAAATGGTCAAAAAGCGACAATTTCTCACCTTTCTTCCCGTTCGAAGTTCAAGAACTGACCATAGCCACCCTGATCTTCTTGTTTGGCTGGACATAGAGAAGTAAACCAAGAAAAAATTCCACATTTCAATAAACAACTTGCCCAGGGCTGTTCAAAGCTGATATCAAACTATCTCGAAGTTTTGGGCATTTTTGTCCGTGATTCTTTACTTTGCCACTAAACTATTCACAGCAGTGCCAAACTTTAGTCGTCACTGAATGCAGGTGCCAGCGGCCTACAAGCAAACATAAAATAAAATCAATGCGACCACTCACATCACAACTGGGTGATGTTATAGAGAGGTACATTGAAAGTGACACGTGGGCACAAATGGTCAAAAAGCGACAATTTCTCACCTTTCTTCCCATTCGAAGCTCAAGAACTGACCATCACCACCCTGATCTTGTTGTTTGGCTGGACATAGGGAAGTGAACCAAGAAAAAATTCCACATTTCAATAAACTACTCGCCCAGGGCTGCTCAAAGCTGATATCAAACTATCTCGAAGTTTTGGGCCTTTTGCCCGTGATTCTTCATTTTGCGACTAAACTATTCACAGCAGTGCCAAATTTTAGGCGTCACTGAATGCGGGTGCCAGCGGCCAATAAGCAAACCAAAAATCAAATCAATGCGACCTCTCACATCACAACTGGGTCATGTTATAGAGAGGTACATTGAAAGTGACACGTGGGCACAAATGGTCAAAAAGCGACAATTTCTCACCTTTCTTCCCGTTCGAAGCTCAACAACTGACCATACCCACCCTGATCTTGTTGTTAAGCTGGACATAGGGAAGTGAACCAAGAAAAATTCCACATTTCAATAAACTACTCGCCCAGGGCTGCTCAAAGCTGATAACAAATTATCTCAAAGTTTTGGGCCTTTTTGCCCGTGATTCTTCACTTTGTGACTAATCTATTCACAGCAGTGCCAAATTTTAGGCGTCACTGAATGCGGGTGCCAGCGCCCAACAAGCAAACCAAAAATCAAATCAATGCGACCACTCACATCACAACTGGGTCATGTTATACAGAGGTACGTTGAAAGTGACACGTGGGCACAAATGGGCAAAAAGCGACAATTTCTCACCTTTCTTCCCATTCGAAGCTCAAGAACTGACCATCACCACCCTGATCTTGTTGTTTGGCTGGACATAGGGAAGTGAACCAAGAAAAAATTCCACATTTCAATAAACTACTCGCCCAGGGCTGCTCAAAGCTGATATCAAACTATCTCGAAGTTTTGGTCCTTTTTGCCCGTGATTCTTCACTTTGCGACTAAACTATTCACAGCAGTGCCAAATTTTAAGCGTCACTGAATGCGGATGGCAGCGGCCTACAAGCAAACCAAAAATCAAATCAATGCGACCACTCACATCACAACTGGGTCATGTTATACATAGGTACGTTGAAAGTGACACGTGGGCACAAATGGGCGAAAAGCGACAATTTCTCACCTTTCTGCCCGTTCGAAGCTCAAGAACTGACCATAACCACCCTGATCTTGTTGTTTGGCTGGACATAGGGAAGTGAACCAAGACGAAATTCCGTATTTCAATAAACAACTCGCCCAGGGCTGCTCAAAGCTGATATCAAACTATCTCGAAGTTTTGGGCCTTTTTGCCCGTGATTCTTCACTTTGGGACTAAACTATTCACAGCAGTGCCAAATTTAAGGCGTCACTGAATGCGGGTGGCAGCGGCCTACAAGCAAACCAAAAATCTAATCAATGCGACCACTCTCATCACAGCTGGGTCATGTTATAGAGAGGTACGTTGAAAGTGACACGTGGGCACAAATGGTCCGAAAAGCGACAATTTCTCACCTTTCTACCCGTTCGAAGCTGAAGAACTGACCATAGCCACCCTGATCTTGTTGTTTAGTTGGACATAGGGAAGTGAACCAAGAAAAAATTCCACATTTCAATAAACAACTCGCCCAGGGCTGCTCAAAGCTGATATCAAACTATCTCGAAGTTTTGGGCCTTTTGGCCCGTGATTCTTCACTTTGCGACTAAATTATTCACAGCAGTGCAGAATTTTTTAAAAGCGTCACTGAATGCAGGTGGCAGCGGCCTACAAGCAAACCGAAAATCAAATCAATGCGACCACTCACATCAC